GTTCGACCGACGACCTCCGGGGTCAAGTGGTTTGTACGCCGGGTTTCATGGTGTCGCCGACTCGAGAGGTCCCGGGTTCGAATCCCGGTGGGGGGCAGATGTTTGTGTGATGAATACGAGCATCTGTACTAGAGTCATGGATGTTTAATATGTATTTCTATAAAACATATATACTTATATATGTACAGTATATGTATTCTATCCATTACCCTAGCATCCCATTACACAAGCCTCACAATGTTTACTTTGGGGCTAGGCTAATTGGTGTGAGTGTTGGACATATTTATTTATTATTTATTATAATTATTAATGTGAACTTCTGTAAGTTGGAAGCTATTTCCCCAGACGGGCGCTCCAATGGAAGAGGAATCCGCTATGCCTCTCTTAAAATTATCTCTCATGATCGCAGATCGAACGCGCTAACTACGGCGCCATCGAGCTTCTCATACCCGTTAAAAAGTGTTTAGCAAAATCATTTTTAATGTGTAAGCACACCTAGTTACTTTCGCCCACATCTATGTGACATTTCAAATAGCTACGAGTAAGTACTATGTACTCTGAAACGGCCAAATAGTAAATCATTCTGCGTGGGTGGTGTTAATGGCCTTTCATAGGAAACGGCGACCATCGTTACATAGACTGGGGAAACGCCACCATGATCGGTATAAATTATGGACAGTGTTATTTATAGGTAGCCTATGCCCACAATTTACAATTAGCTTAATTAATCGCTCATTAAAAAAGGCCCTTCACTATTTAATTCAACCATCATAAAATCCACAAAAGAAACATAATAAAATAAACTAAATTAATTAATCAATTTAACATTTGTAATAACATTATCAACAATGGTAAATAAAATCCCCCAGTAAATATACCTTTAAAACCAAACTGCGAAGCTTTTTATTAGAATAGGCGTTTAGTTGAGTGGTTTGTCGTCATTATTTTGTATTTATTTTGGAAATATGTATGTATTTGTGTATTTATTTAAATATATTAACTTATGTATGTGTATATTTATATATTATTATTTGTATTTATTATTTTTATAAACTTTCTTTCAATGTGATTTCCACTTCAGTTGTGCACCCCTACCACTAATAATCTCCACAATATCCTATGGTTGACTGGTAGAGAATGCCTACGGCATTAAGTCCGCCATTGTACATTTTTGCATAAAGAATAAATAAATAAAATAAAATAAAATAAAATTTGGTCGTTCTAAGTAATACCATGGAATGGTCGTTCTAAGTAATGCAAATTATCATATGAAATCTTTTGATATTTTTGTTTCTATTAGTTGCATACTTCGCTATTAAACCAGTTATAAATACAAACAAACTTTAAGTACTCTGTGTTTCCCATTACCATTAAGCATAAGTCACTTTCCCAATTCTCACGCGCCGCCCGATAGAATCTTGTTTTAATGCCGACCCGACAATAACATTTCTGACGAGTTGTAATGTTGACGGAACAAACTTTTGTACGGCTACGATACAATACGATGACACATAACATTGTTTACAACCTTCGTTAGATCTAAACATTGGTAGAAACATAGGATGCTTTGAATTAGTTAAGTTCCCAGACCCAATAAGGTAAACAATTGTATTTAGCTGAGACAGCGTTCTGCTTTAAAGGAGACGGCTCAGATTTGTATGGAAGGTGGTAGTAAGTCTCAGGCAGACTCCAAATTTTTCTGAGATGTACTTCACTCAATTGTAAATCGTTTACCAAAAATCAAGAATTTATTTTATCCCCATATGTTTTGAAATAATTATTATCTCCTCTATATACATGTAATGCTGGTAATTCTATTAGCTACTCATATTTGATATTTGTAATTTTTTCATGACGTGATAACGTCTTATACATCGATGTTCACCGGGTGCACGCATGCAAAAGTGTCACGTTCCGCCTGAGCCTGAGCATGCAAGCGAGAGCGCGGAACAAGCGATAGAGGGGCGCAATCGGCCGAGGCGTCGGCTTTTACACATTTATCTCTATTCTCGCGTGACGTCAGAGCTAGCAATTATGCAATTATTCATCAATGTTACTTTATGACGTTATCACTTAAAACTATCGTCCGTAAACCGACCACAACAATACAGACAACATTTATTTTTCTCCCCCTTCATACCTATATAGCATGTTAACAATATAATGCAATGTTAACAAATAACATTTACGAGTAGCCATCATGAAAACTACCTACTAGCATTTAAGAAAATGTATATCGTTTAAACCTCAAATAAAATAACAGGAGAGATGCGAATATTGTTGTCATTCCAGTTAATCTTGCAGTTAGTAGATTAACTGGAATGACAACAGTGAACTATAAAATAAAACAGGCTTTCACAATGGACATTTCAAAATGTTTTTGAGTTGTCTTCGCGGAAATGTTTGCTGGTAGCATAATCTAAGTTTTCGTAACATTCTCGGACTCGGAATGAAAGTCTACCTAATTAATTATTTAAAAAAAATGCGGGCTCGGGTTGTCTATATAGAGTAATTGAATTTTCATACAAATGATTGTTCATGCCTTTTTTCAGTGGCTTCAAGCTCTATCGAAGCGGCATGTATCCAAACAGGGATGATGACAAGAAACGAAATTCAATTTGTTCCGTCAGATTTATCAAAAAAATAAAAATAATGAACACTTATTTTTTCTTTTATATCAACCAAAAAATTTCAAAGATAAAGCGCGTAAATTAGTGGGTGTGGGAGTTAACTTGATCCATAAGTTTTCTAAATAAAGAAAAATATTTCAAAAGAAAGTGCAACTAAAATAATCTTTCACAATCGTAGGCAGTGTCAATACCATACATTCTCGAAATACTCAAACTGGTTCATTACTCAGGTGACATAACTCACTGCAGAGTGCTAAGCATCCTAATTTGCCTCAATAAAGTTCTACCCGTTAAAACATCGGCGACGAAACATCTCACCTATTCATTAGAATTAAAAAAAGACGAAACTCCAGCACGTTTCGAGAAATGACAGCAATATAATGATGTAATAAACATTATTCCACAAAACTTTTTTTTTGCTTTAGAACACAATGGGCAGTTTAAAGGCAACAAACTCATGAGACTTAATTAATGTACTAACATACGGTACATATCTGGAAATAGTATAATTTAATGAGACACGGTTGCGTTGCGGTATTGTGAAGATTGTTATGAATCTGTCAATATTTTGGATGAAATTAAAAAAGTGAACCTTAGCAAAACGCCTGGTAGAGGTGACTTAACACAAATTATTATTATTAAGAAAAAGAAATAAACACTGGATATCTTTGATAGTCTCTCTGAGTAACCATTAGATAATGAACTATTATAAGACCTGATCAAATTACAGCGCATTGCATTAGGTCAACTGCTGAAGCTTGTAGATATTTGCCATTTAATGTTACCTCTTAACGATCCGCAGCAAAAGATTTTTCACATCGAAAAGTTAAACTCGTACCAGAAAGAAGAATTGCTTTCACAGATACCTTATCTACCCTGGAGGAAATTTCACTTCGGCATGTGACATGCGAGTCGCCAATCACAACTTAACAGTCTCGCATGTCGCACGAATTGACATTTTGTTTGCGTTTTTAAATACAATTTGAAAGATGGTTCAATTCTCCCACCTGGGCAAATCTCCTAGTTTTCCACTATTGTAGGTTATACAAATTGTGATATTCAGGTAAAGTAGAGGATACTCAATAACTTACTAATGACTAGTGCCAAAGTCAAACAATACACATTCAACACTTAACGAATTATAGAAAGTAGGTAGGACTTAATGTATCATTGAATTGACTATTGATATAGCTTTTCGAATCTTCAAACCAAAGAATAGATTTCAAATGCGATTTCTAAAATAATGTTTCTCAGTAAATAAAAGGTATGTCAATCAACACAGCTTTTATACAAATGAATTTTTATTGAACCGTTGAATATAGCTCTCTGCATTATGGCTTTTATTAAAGCATCCCGTCAGCCTATAGGTTAACAAACGGTATATATACAGTACAATATATTGCTATTTCACAATGAGGTAAGCGAATCGATGAATATTTTTGAATAAAACCACTATTCCGATTATCGTAAGCCATCTAACTTAACGGTAGCCTTATGTAGGACGTAGGTATCCTAAAAATGGATTATTTCGTTTAAACTGTGCCATTAATTGTAGTCAAATGAATTAGATTTTTATTTGAAAAGGTGGCAATCCAATATTTTTTTAAATGGTCTACGCTTACCAGAAAACCATTGGGCGTTTAAACAATAAAGATCGCGCTGTCTCATTGTAGTATCCGGATGTAGTTATTTAAATATTCAAAACTTTTTTTTATAATTTAGAACAATGGGTGCCTAATTAGTACAATGTAATTGAGAACTAAGCATGAGTTTTTATCTTATACTGTCGGTTACGTTTATGTAAATGAATCTAATGCAATTTGAAGAACACTGAACATACAACAGTTTTAAGCTACGATAGCCCTGGTTCCGATTGATCTAGTAAAATTATAAATAAGCGACTAGTTTTGCCAAAAAATATGCACAAAACTGATTTTATATTACGCTATAAAGTAGATCTTTTTTTTCTTCGCCTTTTTATGAGGCTCATCTACATTTAAGATCTTATCTTTTTATTATAGAACCTGCCAATCGATTGCTCTAATAAGCCTGAACGAATCTCCAAGAACATTCGGTGATTTGAATATTTTCTCCGCGTAAGATGAACCCACGCGCCGGAAATATGTAAATTTATTAAAAATCTAAATTTCATCGAATCCTTCCTGTTCCATTAAATGTACATTGACTGTCTTTTATTACAAAAAAAACAAACCATATATTAATACTTAGCTTGTAAATTACTTTTGTTTCAATCGAGTGTTATTTATGACCTTTTTTGTTTATAGTAAATGTCATGTTTTACTCGGTACCCGTAAGCTATCCTGCCCATAGCACGACTTAAGAATATTTAGTTATGAATGTTTGTCTTACCTCGGTAGTCATTGATAGCTACAACCAGCGTCAGGGTGGAGCCTAGAGGCACTATCCCTGAGACCGGTGGAGCCCATGGGCCTTTCCCCGCTTGAATTTCCATCCAGCAATCAACGTTGTCCCCTGTAAAGAAATTACAGTTCATCTTTAGACTTGCGGCCTAAGAAATACTAAAGAAAATTCGACACGGACAATAAGGGCCGCGGTGGCATAATGGTCAGTGCATCCGTCCGAATAGCGGAGGGTGCGGGTTCGAGTCCCGTCTGCTGCCTGATCCGAGTGATTATTTTTTTGTAGTAAAATTTTCTTTAGATTAAACATCTAGCAGTTAAATGTTTAAAAATATAAAAAGCGTATTTCGTTTATTTAATTTAAAAGAGTAAATTTTCAGAATATATTAATTACTCAATAACATTAATCCACCTCATATTTTCAAAAGAAGAAGACTTGAAATACTGTTAGGTTAATGGCCTTATAATGTCTCAACCTCTAGGAGCTCATTCCAGTGTAGGTGCAGCCGGAAACAACGACTTAACATTGAAACTGGATAAGAATTTTCGGGTAGCGGATTTTCGACCACTGCAAATTTGCATCGCTTACATCCCATTCAAAACTCACCTCTAAAGTCTAACTGCACAACGTCCAAATCCGCGATGACCATCGGGGGCTTCGAAGCGGTCTTCTCGTAGTCGTTGAACCATTCGCATCGCAGCCGCTTTGCTTCGTCCCACACCTCGAGCAGATCTTTGTCGTATTGCACCACTACGGTGTTCTCATAGAACTGTCCGTGGAGATCTGCAAAAGAAGAATTGAGTTGTTGAAAAATATACTCGTATATTAGTATTTTTTTTTTAGTGTGTAGTTGGTCGCAGATGACGTTTACAGCGTCACCGGGTTTTGGGACGGCGCGCGGCGAGATCCTAAGGGGACCTCAAGCCCAGAATTGGCGAGTGCCTCTAAAGGTATTCCAGGCAGATGGCATATCCCCACGGGAAGAGTCTCCTCTCCGTCTAGAGCCTCTAGACCACTCGAACCTGAGGGGATCGTCTCAACTAGAGGGCGTTTCTGAGATTCGGAACTCGGCTCTAGTTAGCCATTGTCGTGTTGTTGTTTTTTCCAGAATAGAAGTCCTATGTGTAGAAAAGTTGGAGTGGCAACTATTTCTGCCAATTTAAAATCAATAATATTGACGTTTAACCTGTCTAATATATAGCTAGCTATACGTCATTGATCTAAACTTATTTTGTGACGAACAAATTGTGTAACAGACTTCTTAGAATATTTTCATTAAAAATAAAATCCCGGGATTACGGGATCGCATAACCAATCGGATATTTATTTACTTCGAATTAAATTTTAATTTCTTATTCGAGTATGTGTTTGGTGTAATTAATAAGAAAATATAAATTAATATAAATTTATAGCCAAAACTCACTGACAATAGAAGCAAGGAATAGCAAACATATTACGTTGTAAGAGGGCAGCTGTCATTTGTGTCAGAATGTGTTTAACACTCACGGAGTACACACTTAAATTTGAATTTCCCAGAATGGCAATCCTGCCATTTGTCGTGGGGGTATATATTAGTATGGAAAGCATTTGTTTATGGAAAATATCCATTTTCCATAAACAAATGCTTTCCATACTAGCCAACATCTCAACTTTAGGCAAATATGATCCGATTATCCGATCTGAAGTCATGACCCAACCTGTGCTGATTGGTGGGTGGCTAACGACAGCTGATGCATTCGGGACTCGTTATAAATTTTTGGTCATCCACTCCATGACCGGCCATTGCGAAAGTTAAATAAATAAATATTTCCAACACTTACACCAATTAACCTAGCCCCTAAGTTAACACTGAAAGGCTTGTGTTACGCGATACTAGGGTAATGGAAAGAATACATATACTGATACATATATAAGTATATTTATATAGAAATACGTAGTGAACATCCATGTCTGGAGTAGAAATGCTCGTATTAATCACACAAACACTTGGCCCCTCCGGGACTCAAATCTGGGACCTCTCAAGAAGGTGACACTTTCAAACCCGGCATTCATACCCTAAGTACCTATATACTTAATATTGTTGTTCACACCACTCGGCCACGGAGGTCGTCAAGTTGCTTAACTTCTACTTTCGCAGACAGAATATGCTAACCACTCGCACCATCTACCTAACTTCAGTCTTCATAATAATAATGAAATATATACCAATTAAGTGGCCAGATATGTAAGAAATAACGATATCGAGAAAATCTCTATTTGTAGTTCCAATTGCAGTACTAATTGGTTACCAAGATACCATAAAATTAAAATTCATTACTGGATATATTTCTCAAAACCCACTATGACCGAGTCTTTAATAGTTCACCGAACTCATAAGTTTTACTTTAAATCCTTATTATTGCTAGGGCTGTTCCTATACGGATGAACTCGCGCAAAAAGTTGATATCTCACGAAGAACGCGGATCGAACCAGAAGTCTTTGAAACGGTGTCATGCAAGCGAAATTGACTCTTAAAAGCCACACGCTTACTCCCTTTCAGCGCAACGGCCCATTAGGCCCATTAATCTTCTAACTTTGACTGGTGGTTAACGCGAACCCTATCACAAGAGATATAAAATCGATTTCGCATTGTCGTGTCTAATCTATCAGCTTTGGTCGTCAGTCCTTAAAGTCGGTTATTGGTTGCGGCGGGAAGGAAATACGTTTGATTGAGGGTAGGCGTCGTGGAGGCGGGTGCTGGGCGGAAATGTACCTTAAGAGCTTTGAAATGCGGTCTGGCGGGTGGCGATTCCAAGAAACAATGGTCAAGCAAGGTTCGCGGAAGGAGCGGGACGTGTATGCCCGTTATACTCCACACTAGCTGCAACTAGGAATCGAGAGACGAGGAAAAAAACTCACTTAGGTACTTTGTTAAATTGAGAGCGATGCAGGGAACTCGGCAAAGACGATTTATTACGAAATTGTTACGAATCACCGGTATTTACTGAGAAGTTAAATGCAGTTAAAGTATAAAACGTAGTGCAGTTGGAATTGTTTGCTTATTATGGTGCCGAATACACAGTATAGGCACAAATTCAAATAATTCCTATGAAATGGATAAAAATACAAAAAAAAAGTGCTTCTTTATCTACTTATATTAGGCTAGGGCCTAGCGTGTAAAGCTTGCTTTTAAAACGATTCCCATGTTATATAACCTATTAATTCGGACCTCCACCGATAAAAATAAAAAAAGGAAACAAATGCTGTAGCATAATTTTGTACAGCCGAAACTCAATAGACAGATACATTTTGACAGTCAACGTGCCCTTATTCCATTAGAAATAAGTGTCATAGTCTTATACTAAGTGTTACTATTGTTTTGACCCCGTATTCGCCTATCGAGTGGGACGGGAATGCAACAAGCAGCTGTCACAAAATAGAAAGCACAGAAGTCAAACTTATATATGTAACTACTTCACTTTTCATACCTACGTTCGGCAGGTGCATTAGGATTATCAACTTTCGCTTATGCACAAAATATATCGTGGTAGTGGCACTTGTCTATCTATCTATCTATTTGTTTAAGTTATTGTTAACAATGAAACAGGAAGCATGAAAATATAAACTAATAATAACTAGAGTATTTATTTTGTAATGTAATAATCATATTACAAATTAAAAAAAAACGATAAATTCATTGTATAATGTTGAATTTAAACAACCGTCCTTTGAACAGTTACTAACTTTGTTTTTATTGCTCAATATTTGCACAAAAAGTTCATAGACGCGTGCCTCAATCGGATGGAACTCGCGCCCGCAGTGGTCCCAACCAGTCCAAGATATCGTGTCCGTGAGCGCTGTCTACGTGTGCATTGATCGAAAGCACTTTGATGTAGATTGACTTCTGTTCCATCTGTTTTGTGCAGCTGTGTCCGGCACCTCGGATTTGTCGCAATAAATAACTTGCTCTGTTGGAACTAAAGCCCCCCGTAGTTTATCTCATTATGAACGGGAAACTTCGATAAAACACTGCCTTGCCTTCACAATGCCATAATATGATTTTGGGACTAAAACAGTAATAGCAGTAATAACGGAAGTGAAAAAAGATGAAACAATAAAGTGAAAATAATTATAAAGATAAATAATGAATAAGAAACGATGTAAAACAATGGTTATTCGGCTTCGAAACAAAGTGAAAAGCTCAAGGAAGAATGCTTTCTTCAATTTTTTAACTTTGTTCTTCTGAAGGCATAACACACACACAGACGACACAGGATTATAATGATATTTAAAATATAGGTAATTTAATATGTAGAGCAAACAATTATTTAAATAAAATTAGAGGGGGTTTTATCATTATAGTTTGATATTAACATTATATTGACGACCTAAGTGGCCGGGTGATTTGTACGCCGGGTTTCATGGTGCCCCGAGAGGTCCCGGGTTCGAATCCTGGTGGGGGCAGATGTTTGTGTGATGAATACGAGCATTTGTACTCCAGTCATGGATGTTTAATATGTATTTCTATATAAATATACTTTTATATATATACTTACAGTATATGTATTTTATCCGTTACCCTAGTATCCCATAACACAAGCCTTACAGTGCTTACTTTGGTGCTAGGCTAGTTGGTGTAAGTGTTGGAAATATTTATTATTATTTATATTACATTTTTTAATATTACATATAGCAATAAAAGCCAGACTTGTCTTGTCTTGTTGGAAATTGTTAAAATAGTATTAAGGTTAACGGGACGCTGAGTTTTAGGTTTTAAATTTTGCATGGAAACTTAAACAACAGCGCCATAACGAACGTAAAGAGAAGTAAGAATCAGTACACATTTGACAATGACATTTCGCACTCGCAAACGATACGAATACGATATTGGTTCGTGCTATGTGTACATATCTTGGCGCGTTTTTAACACGTGTTTGTGCTTTGCCTGTTTTACTGTTAAACAAGTGACAGTATAGGTACTACAAAGCTAAGTTATAATAGAATAACATTAGGTACTATAAACATTTTCTAAAAATATAAATTCATTAAAGTTCGACACTAATAGTTTCGTAATAACACTATCCATGTTTGTTATAGCTGACAGTGTTCGTAAACGCACCATAAAACAACTCATGAAAAACCCATAAACTATGTTAAGTAGTATCTTACAAAGATGTTTATGTTTGTTTTTCTTAAAACGAAGTCGTAATAATATAGGCAGTTGTCCGGCGAGGAAGCGACACACTATCGGCTAGTTATTCGCTCAAGAAACGTACAATAGGTATACATTCCATGTGAACGGAAGAAATGCAAACATGAAGAGTTAATGTGAACTCTCTCCACTAGTTTGTCGTTGAGCAACAAGAGGTATGAAAGATAATACTCGCTCAGCGAAACTGGCTCAGCGATGATCGCTTGTCTCAAATTTTGCTTAGGATTATCTACGCGAGTAACCCCGCCCTGTTCCGCCCGTCGTTCTAGCACACTCACTTATAGGCCAGCGATAAAACTATCGGAACTGCACACTCGCTTCCCGCTGCTCGTCAACTCGTTTCTAGTTTGTAGCTCTAAACGCTTCTTACTCATCCTCGGCGGTGGGACAAGTGGCATAATATCGACTGTATCAATGTAGCATATATTAACGAGCTATTCAACTACTTAAAACATAAAAGAGTTTATTAACGCATCTTGTGAGCATTTAATGTGATATTTAAATACTCAATCAAAGAAAACGGGCGAAAATAATGAGCAAAAAATAAAAGGTGTTTTTTTTTTCTATATGGCTTCGCACGGCTTGTGCATTT